CTGGAAGCGTGCGTTGTTCGGCAGCCTAGCGATAGCCCTAAGGAAGATCTCATAATGAAAAAATAAAAATTCTTCTTCGTTCTGCAGCGTCACCTTAGTCTTCGTTGGAAACGTGAATAAATTTTTGCGTTGAAGTAGCGTTAGTCCCATTGTTAAGACGGGGAGGGTGGCGATCGTGCCTTAGGAAAATATAACTTGCCTTGCAACTTTTTGTGTTCCCCGCTTTTGATGCGTGTTGCCCACCAGGTTTAGGGGTGTAAAGATAATCTTTCAACACTTTTTTTTTTTTCTTTTGTTTTTGACCCAGAATTAAAATAGCCTGATGGTATATGTTTCAAAGATTGTAGCTGCGCTTTATTTTAATAGATTGCAGTTATAGAAGATAGACACCCAGGAGATTTTGCCTTTCGCCATGGCTCAGTTTGGAGGACAGAAGAATCCCCCTTGGGCTACTCAGTTTACAGCCACTGCAGTATCTCAGCCAGGTCAGTTTACATATCACTTAATGTTTGAACCCTGACATCTAGTAGATTTGGAGATTCCGTAGTTGGGTATGCAGTTAAGAGTGGCACCATGCTAACTAACTTATTTAAATTCTATTTAAATGGGTTAAGTTGGGAGTTTTTCACACAATAAAGACATTAAAGATCATTGCCTAATACTAGCTGTTGGGTTAGTCTTTTTAATGGGGTGAGAAGTAAAATCCCACGTGAATTTTTATTGATTCTCTTGGTCAGTAAACAAGATATTAAGTTACTCATATCCAAAGATGTGTAAATCAAATTACCTTTCATCAAATTGCATCGCTCTAGATTAGATAAGAGCACTAATAAGGCATTACAGATTTCTTAAGTGCTGTCTGAGTTTCATTTCCTGGGCAGCCTAAATCAATGTTTACAAAGTATTTTGCCTTTACTAGTATATTGGACATCACATAGTGAAGAGGTCTCTGAAATTTGCTGCTTGGATGGGGAAGGGGTTTTTTTGTTTGTTTGTTTTAGTGCCAAGTTAGGACTGAAAGATCCCTATAACCAAAGGTACCTCCCTGATAATGATAGAGGGTTTCCTTTGATTTAGCTAAGAAGCCTTATTTAATCACAGGCTAGTATATTTAAAAACCTAGCTAGTTAGATTTTCATGTTTCACATTGTTTTATAGCATAAAAAATTTTGAGGCAAGAATGTGAGGCTTGCTGCATGGTGAATCATGGTGCTTCTATTTCCAGTTCTGGGCTGCCTTTTTGTCTCGAATACAAAGTGTTAATCCTAAATATTGTAGTTTCATTGTCTGATGTGAAAAGGCTTCAACAAAGCTGTGGTACTTTGAGGATTCAAGATGTCACAGGCAGTAACCTTGTTGAAGAGATGTCTTTCTAAAGAGTTGTATGTTTTTTGCTGTTGCCCTTTGCATCTTGCTCCAGTTTGATATGAAGTTGAATGAAAGACCTCCTTTGTCAGTGGTTTTACATCTGGGAGCTTAGCAAAAGTTAGGGATGACTGCCATTATTTGGAGGTGCATGCCTGGAGGGGAGAAAAAGAACAAACCTTTCTCCTGACTTAGTTTTCTTCCCTGAAATGACTCCTCCAGCTCCAGTTCTTGCTTTGGGCACTGATCCAATCTGTGTGTGTATCCTCAGGGAACTGCCACCTCCATTCCTCCATGTGTTTCACAATACTCGGTCCCAGTGTGCCTTTTCCTTTTCCTCTTCCTCCATGCCCATTCAGTCCTACTCTCTACCTAAACTGTTGTTGTACCTAACCAGCCGTCTGCAGGACGTTTTGCACTGAGTAGCTTACACCTCCCGTATGCAAATGGCGCTACTCTCCTTCTGTAAGAAATTGCTTGACAGCTGGAAAGGGTCGGCATTGTGAACACAGGAGAGATGAACTTTGCTTTTGGTTCTTGTGTCTGGGTGATACCTTGGACCCATCAAAGGATGGCAGCATCTTGGCTGGAGTATTCTTGACACGTTGGCTGATGTGACAGTAGTGCATCAAAAATAGTGGTGGAAGACTGAGGCCCAGCTTTGATGGCCTGTTTCAGAGGGAAAGCTGCATAAAACCTGCTGTAGGGGAGGAGCTGGCAGCCATCTTAGACCTCGCTGAGCTAGGACCAGAAGGGGGCCCTGGAGAAGAGGTGGATGGAGCAAGGACACTAGAAGCACACACCAACTTCTTACCTGTTTTCCTATTCCTATGACTCTGCTTTTGGTTAGCCTACTTCTGAGCCTCTTTAAATTAAATGAAGTGCAAAATTTAATTGGGATAGGACTAGCCAGCATCAGTTGCTGTGAGAGATTTTTCACCCGCGCAATGAGGACGGTATCTCCGGGGATTTTTATCTGTTCGTCTGATCCAGCAGCGCCTGACTCAAAACATGAGAGCCATTAAAGACTAACATTTGGTTGCAATTTTGTCTTCTTCCTGTGCTAGCTGCACCTTCCTTCATGTTTCTAGTGTCCCTCTTCACACTGTAGTATCTTCTCTCTGGTCTCACGCATTTAGCTCATTGTGTCCTTCTGTGCAGTCCTTTCCTGTTCCTACTGCAATACACAATCACCGTGTCTGTCCTTTTTTTTTCCTGCCTGTACTAGTGAATCCAGTCCCTGGGATTCTTCCACCCAGCTCCGGTTTTAGTACCCATGTACATACTTTGTCCCCTGCTTTTTTTATTGTCAGTGTTGATTTATAATACAGAACACAGGAAAATTTTTTGAAAGTATGCAGTGCTCTTTGGCCCTGCTGAGGGGCTGAAGAGCAGTCTTTAGTGTTGAGCTGGCTGCAGCTAAGTAGTCACCTTTCATGCACTTTTCAACATGAAGCTATGACTGTCCAGCCAGGTTGCTTGCCTGATGAAGAGAGAGGCTGTCGGGGCTCAGGCATGCTGACTAGCATGTACTGCTTCTCACCTGTGGTTGCGCTCAAGAAGTTGTACAGATTGGCTTACTCTTGTGAAGCTCAATTTTCATAAACTGATTTAAAAGAACTACATTTACCAAACTCTTACGAGGGTTGGCAAAAGGTGGGTTTTTAAAATTTTTTTTTATATATATATATATTTATGCATGCCAGCTGCTTTTATCCAAGTGTCAGGTTCCTTCCCCAAAGCATCAAGGTGCTTGGGTATGGGGGAAAGACATGTTGGTTTTTATAACACAAGCAACATGATACTTAGCTTTTTCTTAAGCAGCTGTCAAAAGTGGTGAGTGTTATAAACCCAGTTTGATAATTGCAAAAAGGTAATTTAAGGGTTGGTTGGTTTTGGGAGGGAGGGGGGGTGTATTACTGACTTGGATGCTGTCTTGGCCATCCCTGGTGAAGAAGTAACTATATGAGTTAAGGTTCTTAATTAAGGTGTGACACTTCAAGGTGGGTTGCAGAGTGACATGCCATGTAACGAAGGGTTCCTGGGATCCCTTTGGAATAGCTTACTAATTACTGTCTGTGCCTGTGGTATTAGAAGAGAGACGGGTAATTCCAGGTGTCAGCAAAGATCTATGTGTGAAGGGAGACTCCTACTTGTAACACAGTGAAATTGTTTCTCCTTGTCTCATGGTTTCGTGCATCACATGACTAACACCAGAATAAAGTCCCTGCTATGCTGCATAAGCAGTGCTAAAGCGTAAATTAAATCATGCCTACTACAGAAAATTAAAGTTTAAAAAATTATAAAATATAAAATTCCTAGATAGCACAGATTGCTTTTTGCAAGTCCTCTTTATACTTTTAACTTGCATCATGATGTGCAAGTTCCTGAGACGCCTGCAGAGGAGAATCCCCTCCTATTCTCTCAGCTATTGATTTTTGACATGTCTTTTGGTTTGTATCGCAGCACTTGGCATATGCTGTTTCAGGGTTAAGATTTCTGACTGCATAGTGAAGCGCATTTTTATAGAACTGTCGTGAAGGGGAAGTCCTAGCTGTGCTGTGATCTGTCTGATTGGCGTTGTCGTCTTTGCTGTCTCAAGACCTTATTGCGTTACAGTGAAGAACAGTACACCTGATGAAAGCAGAAGTACCCGAAGCTCAGTGTTATTGCTGGTGGTGACTAGTGAAAAGTGTAAGACTAGGGCAGGGATGCAGAGGAGTCACTAAGAAATAGTAGCTGATACACAATTTTCTGGCTTGCTGTAAACGGATGTCCTGTGATAAATACACTGAGCCTGGTTTCTATTGTGTGTGCCTGTTAAAGGGAATTTTTTTTTTACTAGGTTCTATGGTGTTTGTATTGCAAGGGTGTTAAGCTTGAAGAAACTTAAACACCCAAGGACCCAAACTCACAATTTCTGACAAATATAAAAAGTGTCCAAAGCCCTGGATAGACTACTCCTTTACTGTAATCCTAATAAACCTGCATTACTTACCAAGGAGATACATGCAGCTGCATGTATGATTAGAAGATGATTCCCTAATCCTAAAGGGCCTCTGGAATTTAGAAGCCGCCTAGGACTCCAGTTTCTACCCAAGCCCTTTCAGATGGATGTGCCATGCAGTATTTGGTGCGAGTGGAAGTTGTTTAGACTGCCTGTGAAGGAAGGCATCTCCATCACTGTACTTGCTGAGATAATTACAAACCCAAAGAAGCTATTGTTTGTCTCTGCAGATTCTTGTTGCCAGTAATACTAATATGGCGGTCAGATGTCAATTCCACACTCAGTCTGCGATTCATTCTCTGTCTCTTGTTTTTCTGGGCTATTTTTTTTTTTTTTTTTTTTAATCTAGTAATGCAAACACAGTCGCCTACTTAATCAGCCTGTTTGACTGAGATGAGTACATAGTTGAAAGGTAGACAAATTAAACTGTTGGATTACTTCAGGGCAAATTGGTAGGAACAAGATACAGCTTTGAAAAACTTGTTACTACAGGTGTTAGCCTACGAGGGGATCTCGGCAGGCTTTTGTCTTTGCCCTTTGTTAGTAAGTTGATCTGCAGTATTGTAGATGACATGATACCCAGGTAATATTAAATTATCATAAAGTGATGGTAGAGGTGGCAAAAAAAATTCCACCCCCCCTCAATGGACAAAGTGGGATAAAGTCTTAGGGTGGGCTGGGAATTGTTTTGAGATAATTATGGTTTCTGCTAGAGGGGAAATTGTCATAGTGGAAACTGAAGAGCGGAGTAACCCCAAGATCTGGTTTTGGGAGCAAGCATGTTAGTATTTTTGTGGGTATACTTGGTACTAAAAGACAGAGAACTTGTGAAACTCGCTTGATGATGCTTCCCAACTCCACCCCCCTGTGTTGGTACAACATTACAATAGAACCTTAGACTGAATGACAATAGCTAGTGTAGTCAAACAGATTCAAAGATAATAGCATGAAGTGAATTTATGTGCTAATAGGAATTTGCTCAGCATGTGGAAATGAGGAAAGATGAATGCATTGGTTACTTGCCTTGAGTGAGCTAGCAAAGCAAGGCAGCCAAGAAAAGTGAAAGTTGTCCCAGGATGCAGCAGCAGAGCATTTTCATTTGAAGGTCTGTTTAAGGTGTGTTATGTGAGGCATTGGTGAGGTTCCAGATGAGAGTGTGCTTCTGGATGGTCAAAAATGCATGTTCACATTGAAGCTGATGGACAAGCAGGAGGCAAGGGGATCAAGAGAATGGAGGGCCTGTCATGGGAGAAGCCTCAGATTTGGCTTGCTTGGCTTCCAAAGCAACCCAAATGTTGGAATTTTCCAGGGAAGAAAACATACCATACTGGAAATGCTGTAATTTTGCTGCACTACAGAAAGCTTGATTTCACTATTAAAACAGTATTACATATTTGATGCAGATCATAGTGATGGTGATTATTTTCACTGTTGCTTATATATTTCTTTCATGTTTCATTCCAAAACTGTAAGATGCTCAGAGCATCAACTTGCTTTCTGAAGATTGTGCTCTGCCGGAAAGAGCTGTGGTAGGGAGGATTACCTTATTCAGGATTTGCTGAGTTGGTTACAGCTGCATCCCTGGGTCAGGAATGACTGCTTCGTTTTGGATCAGTAAGAATAGTGTGGAGCACAAACTCTGCAGGAAGAATACTGTAAATCTGTTCTTCATTTCATTGTGCCTCTTTAACTGCTTTGGAAGAGAAAGGAACCCTGTTCGACTTGAATGTTCTTCAGTTCTGAAGGTTGCCGACTGACCTGTTTTTGCTGGCAATATGTTTCCCTGCTGAGTTTCTCTTTGGTTTTATTTAAACATGTGGACTAGACTGATAGCTTGATGAAGTGATGTTTGATCGTGCAGCTGCAGATAACTTTTTTAAAAAGTCCTGCCAGAGAGGGAGCAGGTTTCCAGATATGTTTGCAGTTCTTCACTCAGGTTTGCATTGCGCAGGGTTCTTTGTCCCTAAAAGTTCTGTCTGTAAGGCATAAGCATACCTCATTTGGAAGTATCGTACGCATAAGAAGCATAGCATGGGGATAGCTGCTCCTCATAATTTGCTTAATCTTCTGCAGTGAATTAAAAGCTGATATGACAATAAAATAAACTGATTTTTTGTTCCAGGCAGTTTGAGTCTGGGCAGCACAAACCCTTCCTAGTAAGAGCTGGAGAGAGCTTGACTTGGTCCCTTTATGTGTGGGGGCCGATTAAACTCCCTGTTTTTATAAGGCTGTTCCTTCTCTGCCAGCCTGCACATTTACAAAATCCAGCTCACTCGGGGACAAGGACAGTACTGAGTGAAGCAAAGCCTTGTGTGTTTCCAGAGAACACGTTCCAGAAGCCTCTGTTTCATAGTTGCTATTACAGTAAAGATTTCTCTTGCCTCAGATAGAATGGAATAAACCTCAGCTGTTTAAAGTTGCTCTCAGTGCTTATTGTGTGTGTTCTCTTTTCAGCTGCTCTTGGTGTACAGCAGCCATCGCTGCTTGGAGCCTCTCCTACAATATACACCCAGCAGACGGCACTCGCAGCGGCAGGCCTAACTACACAAACACCAACGAACTATCAGCTAACTCAGACAGCTGCTTTACAGCAGCAAGCTGCAGCTGCAGCAGCTGCGTTACAGCAGGTAAAGAAAAAGGAGCATTTGCTGTTGACTGTATGAACTTTAACAATATAACCCAGTGGCTTTGTGAAGCTAAAGTATTGAGGAGAGAAGCAGAATGGGAAATGGTGAACATTGCTATATAAACCTGTTTAAAAAACAGTGGGATTTTGGGTCTACAGCTATTAATATTGGCATTAATCTATGGAAGTGGGAATTTTGGCTATGGAGGTACTGACTTTTAGCTATGGAAAGCCTTTAGGGAAAAGGAGCTTTGCTGCACCTAAACTGAGAATCTCAAGTTCCAAGTATCTTCCATCACTACATGTATCCTTAATAGCATTTTGCATGATTTCATACTGTGCCCTAGATACTGTAAGTGTCAGGCTTAAAAATTTGTGATCTTTATCTAGAAAGTGTACATCAGAGTCCACTCTAAAGGCTAAAATATTTGTTATGAAAGTAATACATGTTGATACTATTAGTTATGCCTTGTATTAGAATTGTTAAATGTGAATAGTTTCTATCTAAAACTTGCTTAGCAGATAACTTGTATTTGGTATTATCGGGGTAATAGTACTTCCTGTTTATGAGATACTTTGCTTTTATCTGTTTCAGCAATATTCACAACCTCAGCAGACTCTCTATAGTGTACAGCAACAGGTTTGTCTGATTCTTACTGTGTACATCACAAATAACTTTAAAAATAATGTTGGTTGTGTGTCTTGTAGGGTATGTCTCCGAAATCATCCTCGTATGGGAAGTTGTTAAAGAAACTAAGTAATATTTTTTTGTAGTGAAAGAGAGCTTGAAGTTCATAAACTTGGAGAGATGTATCCAGAATGGAAGCCTGCCTACCTTCATGCAGAAAGGAAATTTAAAAATACATACTATTCCATGTGTACACGATTCCTGCTAAATTTTGCTCTAAACAGGGCCGTGTATTTTAACTGCTGGAAAGATGCTGGAAAGATCCAAAAAAAGTTCCCTTTTGTGGTTTTTTTATGGTCTTTGAACTTAACTGGATTTTGAAAAAGAATAAAAGGACATGGAAATTACAGGCCTAAGCTTCTCTAGCTGCCAAAACTTTTTTTGATATTGCTATTAATTTTCAGTTACAAAAAACCCCAGCATTTCTACTTACTGAATAAACCTGGAGTATGCAATCTTAAAATTAACCACATGAGCACGATTTTATGCATAAGCAAACTGCTGAAATGACCAAACCACAAAGGACTATTAACTGACTCAGATTAAGCAAAAACTCTTACTTGTAAAGAGGAGGTAAAATTGTACAATTTCCTTAAGCATATAAAATTAATTTATAACTTTATTTATTTTAAGTTGCAGCAACCTCAGCAGACCCTTTTAACTCAGGTTAGTTTGGTTTTATTGTTTGGTCTTCATCCCCAAACACAGATAATGCAAGAGTGCAAATTTGTGACGTCTTGGGTAGTTTAATCTGTAAAATGAATGGACATTTTGTTGGTACAGGTTTATTTTATCCAGATGTTAAAATATGCATAGCCTTGGTTTCAAAAATTAATAGCAACCACTTTTCCTTAATCTTGAAGGGAATATATTATGTTGATTACATCATAATTATGTTTGAACTTCAAGTGTTCAGTTGCAGTAAGTAACAAACGGGAAAAATCTTTCCTTTGAGAAGGAATTTAACTTTCTGTGTTAACAGTATTGCAGTATGTGTATAGAGAGGTTTAAAAAGAATCTTGCTGAGCTTGACAGGTTTAAAACATGCAACCATTTAACACTGTAAGTTGCTCCAGTTCTGTTTTCACTTAACCTTTTAAACTTGCCTGAGGAAGAAAGGTAAACACAGGTTGCTTAATTGCGTTATCTTACTGTGTTCTGCTTTTGTGAGAAGGCAAGCACATGAATTGTTGAGTTAGGGAACGGTTTGTGTTAGCCTCAACCATTACTGACTTCTAACACTACAGTTGAGATATAAATGGAGAATAATCTCTGAGCATGTATTCCTAGCAAAGTTAGGAACTCGCCTCCTCTTCAGGCCCACTGTAAAACAACAATGCAGTCTTCATTTTTTTTCTAGACAATGTGTATATCTCGGGGAAGTTGACTTTTTTAAAAGAACAGGATAAAAAAAGCTGGTCTTCATTCAAAGTAGAAAAATGCAATCTTAAACCAACCAAACAAAAAAAAACCAAAAACAACCCTTCCATCTTCTGAAAATCTTGATTCAGAATAATTGCTTTAGAGGCATTTTAAACTCCTGTCTACAGGAGGGTAAAGGAACTGTTCCTTGTAGCTATGTCAGCTGGTTATAAGATTTATAGTTTGCTTTATTTTGCTTACAGCCAGCTGTTGCACTACCTACCAGTCTTAGCCTGTCTACTCCTCAACCGGCAGCCCAGATAACTGTTTCTTATCCAGCACCCCGGTCAAGTCAACAGCAAACCCAACCACAAAAGCAGCGTGTCTTCACAGGGGTAGTTACTAAACTGCATGATACATTTGGTTTTGTGGATGAAGATGTCTTTTTTCAGCTTAGGTAAGATGTACATACTTGCCTGCAGATGTACTCTGTGATACCCTCACTAAATAAAAGGTTTAGATGGTTGCTTTCTAATTCTGTGACTCCATTGATAGTGCCTGTAGTTAGTATGGTTTTTCTGTCAATACTGAAAGTCAGGTGGTCAAAAATGTTAATAGACTCTAGATCTGATGTCAATTTTTTTTCTTAATGTAAAACCCAAGCTGGGAGACTCAGAAGGTACTGAGCTCCTTTATAATATGAAACTGCTTTGTGGGTGATTAAATGCATGTAATTTGCTATCTGCCTGTCTTAAATCA